AGTATGTGAGCACACAGCTCGGCGTTGGCAGACAGCCGGAGCCCCGTAGATGCTACCTGCTCTGCTGTCCTTATGGATCAGACCGCCCAGGTCCCGAGCCTGGCGCCTTCCGCTGTGGTGGCCGTGTGCCTCAGTCCCCCCACCTGTACAATGGGGACAGTGATCGTAACTACGGAGTGGGGGTGGACGCTGCTTCAGGGCATCCTTGGCACTGGGCATGGCTGTGTCCACCGCCCCCGTCCTTTTAGGAACTCTGCCAGTTGTCTGCACTCGTCTGGCAAAGACAGGACAATGCCGCCAAGTGCCACACGGGGTTGTTGCTTGAGCGTCTCCTGGAGGTGCATCTTCGGTCCCCAGCTAGATCCAGACTCCTCTGGGGCAGGGACAAGCTTTTCATTTCCTGTAGCATCTGCCCCAGGCTCAGACCTAAACCATCCTGTGAGTGATGGAGGGCAGGGGGGAGACTGGAAGGAAGGAAGACCCAGGGAGGCTACTGGTACCAAAGCTACCAGGAGCTGACAGTCCCCAGGCTGGGGGGCAGGAGGCTTTCAGGGCTGCCAGGTCGACCACAGGAAAAGCAAACAGAATTCCAGCGGACCGGTGTTGCCGGTGGCACAGGTGCGAGCTCCTGGCCTCCTGCCACAGACACCTGCAGCAGGTGAGATATGTGTGCACGTTTTGCAGATGAGGGAAACCAAGGCTCAGATAAATCAGTGGTTTTTCTGAAGGATCCCAGAGCTGCAGGGTTCAAACCCAGACTTGTATGAGACCACCTCATACTGGTCACAATGGCTAAAATTAACAACTTGGGAAATGACAGGTGTTGGAGAGGATGCAGAGAAAGGGGAGTCCACACTGTTGGGGGGAACGCATACTGGTGCGGCCACGCTGGAAGACAGGGGGGCTCCTCAAAAGTTGAAAATAGAGCTACCCCACAACCCGGCAATCACACTGCTGGGTATTGAGCCGAAGGATGCAAACACAGTGATCCGAAGGGGCACCAGCACCCCGATGTTTACAGCAGCGGTGTCCACAGAAGCCAAACTATGGAAAGAGCCCAGATGTCCATCAGCACACGAGTGGATGAAGATGTGGGATACAGACGATGGAATATTACTCAGCCATCAACAAAAATGAAATCCTGCCATTTGCAATGACACAGATGGACCAGAGGCTATTATGCTAAGCAAAATAAGTCAATCAGAGAAAGACAAATACCATAGGATTTTACTTATAGGTGGAATTTAAGAAACAAAACACGAATTTAGGGAAAGGGAGGAAAAAAGTACAATAAGACGAAAACAGAGAGGACAACAAACTGAGGGACTCTTAACTCTGGAAACAAACAGGGTTGCTGGAGGGGAAGTGGCTGGGAGGCGGCAATTGGGTGATGGACAGTAAGAAGGGCACGTGGCGGAGTGAGCAAGGGGGGTTGGACGCAACGGATGAATCACTAAACTCTACCTCTGAAACTCATAATCCACTATATGTTAACTAAATTGAATTTAAAAATTTAACGCCCCCCCAAACCTCCAAACAAGCCCAGACTTGTGTAGTTCCTAAGCCTGAGTTAGATCCCAGCTGAACTCAGCCTGTACTGTTATGAGGCCATGAGCCCCACCCCTCTTGGTATACCCAAAAGTCAGACGCTCCTACGTTCTTGCCCCAAAGGAAGGGGAGGCAGCTGGAAAAAGTTCTGAGTGGAGGGAACAGCGTGTGGAAGGCCACAAGGCCAGGAGGAGGAAGGGGTCTGAGCAGACCTTCAGTCATCAAGGCCGTCGATTCTAGATTCATAGCTGGGATCCATTACTTGGGCTTCGGGACAGAGGAGTGGACTCCTTAGGCTCGTGACTCTTCTCAGCCTGTGGCCTGGGGCAGACCTTTCATTCTGCAGGCTCCAGTGTATGTGTGTAGGCATTGGACCTCCCCCGCTGGCATCACGTGACCAGAGGAGGGTTTCAGTGCGTGGGAAGAGGTGTCTGTTGCATGGATCTGATACAAGGCAAGGCTCCCGGGCAGTGAAGGCTGCCCGGACAGCGGTGCCCACCACACAGCGCCGCTGTGCCTGCAGATTGTTCAGTCCCAACACAGAAGCCCATAGAGGGAGGCCTGGGGAACCACTGGCAAGTGGCGGACCTCATCTTGGGCAACCGTCGTCATTCATTCAACCACCACAGATCTGTGCTGAGTGCCTACTCTGTTCCAGGCCCTGCTGTGGGTACCAGGGACACAGGTGGGAACAAAACCCAGGGGGAGCAACAGGCAGTGCAGGGGGACGGCATGTGTCACTTAGAGACCTGGGGGAAGTGAGGGCGGAGCCAGGCCGGCATCTAAGGCAGGAGACCTAGCCTGTGCAAAGGCCCAGGGGCAGGACTGTTCCCGGGACCTCAGAGAGGCCAAGATAGCTGACAGGGAATGAGCAAGAGAGGGGGGTGAGTTTGGGAAGTGGAGGGGCTGAGGGGAGGGAAGCCAGCCAACTCCATCTGATCTTTAACCCTTTGTCCTCCCCCAGGCTGGGACACCCTTTGGTGTGTGGGGGTGGATGTTGGTGATCTATTTATCTCTCTGATAAAGTCAGTTCTTTCTCAGAACTCTGGGAAACATGCTTTTAAAGGATCTTTTTGAGCATTACCTTGTGTGACATGAAATATTTTCCCAAACAGTTAATCCTTTAATCTGGGCCCCTCAGTGAAATCAGTTCTTTATCACCCACAACCATCTGTTGTTTGGGCCGCCCCGCAAATAACTCGGGAGATTTGACTTTTAAGGCGCTTATCTCTTTTGTTCTCTCCAAATTCTGGGAGACCCGAGGTTTGAATTTTCCTGGGAGCGGAGAGCAGGGGCACAGCTAAGATCCATCTCTCTGTACCCCTGCCCGCACCATGGGTGTCCTAATGTTCCCAGACTGGGAAGTGCAGCGGGCAGGAGACAGTCTCATTTATGATCTGAAGGTTGCAATGAGGTCTGTAAATGAGGCCTCGTTCACAATCAGGCGGGGCAGAAAATTCCACCGGGCCTCCCGACCACATGCACCCCGGCCTCGTCACCCTCCCAAGGAGGCCCGGGCAGCTGTCACGTTCTATTAGGATGAAAATGGTTGGGCCCCAACATGGGTCCAATTTTGTTAATCCCGGAAAAAAAAAATGAACCAAGAGCCGATGGCTTGCAAGCTTGCAGCTTGAAAATTACTCATGATACGGGAATTACAGGGCCTGGTCTGGGCAGGGGCTGGCGAAAGGCTGAACCGGTTTGAAAATCCATGCTGTGGTCCGTGATCTCCCTTTTGTTTTGGGGAAGAACCACCAATCTCCTGAAGCCTTCATTTCCTTAGGAGCCAAATGTCGGTTTTGTGTTCATTTTTGCATTTCACAAATTAAATGACCGACATATCTATGGGAGAAAAGACGAATTCCCTGGGAGAAGCGGGGCCTCCCCAGGCTGTCCCTGCGAGTTGGTCACTGCTTTCTTCCCTCTCCTGCTCTCCCCCTAAGCGTCCTGGGCTCCCCTGGGAGGTAGTTTGAAAACCCCCTGGTCCTTTGCACCAATACCAAGATGCCCCTGGTCGTGTACCAGTCCTCGGTGACCTGCGCCCCCTACAGGGCACCAGGAGCAGCGCATGGGCTTGGCCGCCACCGTAGCAGCTGTGGGGTAGGGGTCAAGGGAAGGACGTGGACCCATCTTTGACCTTCCTCTTTTTACTCCCTTGAGGTCAGAGTGCATATGCTGCTTTGTTCCTTGCTCTTTTTTTTTTTTAACTAACATAAGTGTTTTTCTTGTCATCAAAAATGCTTCAGAAGTACTTCTCTTGAATTTAAAAAAATTTTTAAATTTTTGATGGCCTTCTTTAAATTGAAAAAAAGAATGTGTGCATGGCCAAAAGAATATTGAAGCAGGCAACGAGGAGAAATCCTCCTTGGCTTCAGAACCGAATGCTCCTCTCTAAAGGCCATCTGTGATAACAGTGTCTTGTGTATCCTTGTGTATGCTTCCAAAAATGTTTTAGGCAAACCCTATACATATTGCATGAGTGTGCAGATGCTTATTTTAAAGCACCGTTAGGTGTATAGCATACAAATTGTTCTACACGCTAGTATTCCACACCCACCACCGTATCTTGCTAATCTTTCAAAGCAGGGTAAGGGCACAGGGTTCTAGTCTGCAGACAAGCTTCACTTACTTGGATGGGAGGGTAGGAATCGGAAATCCAGATACATTTGCAGGGGAGCAGGGACAGGGGGTAGATAGGGATTCAGATGACAGGAGTGGTGAGGAGGTAAGGCAAGCCAGGGTGTTTTCTCCCAATGAACCTCTTCTATCAGTGTGTGTGTGTTTGTGTGTAGGGATGTGTACGTAAGACCTGACGTCCACACAGCCCACTTTCAAATCCAGAAGCAGAACAGTGTGCCCGGCATGGACGGGATCTGGTGTCTGAGGGACCCAGTGTGGGTAGCTTGGTGTGACAGAGCCCCTCCCACCTCACCTCCAAAATGCTAATTTTATTGCTCATGTGCCCATGTTTCCTACATGTTAAGTACTGTACGATTTTTAACTTTTTATTGAACAAATACTGGAAAGTGGGCAAATCTCATGTCCAGCTTCCCTCAAGGTGAACACACCGTGTAGCCAGTGCCCAGATCCCGAAGAAGAACAGGGCCTGTCCCCGGAGACCAGAGGTTTCCTCTGGGTCCCCACCCACCTGGGGACCCCTGTGCTGACTTCTCACACCAGACACCCTGTGTGCCTGTGTTTGAACACAAAGTTAAATGGAGTCACACTGTGTGTTCTCTTTTGAGCTGGCGTTTTTCTAATGTGCAAGGTTCATCCAAGTGGTGTGTCTGTGTGATCTGGGAACTCTCGGAGCGCGGAAACGCATGGGGATTGCCGATCTGCAGAACACCCGCGTGTGCACATGTCTAGGTTTGTGTGCGTACCCAGACCCGCGCACACGCACACACGAGCATGCGCGTCCGCCCGTGGCTGACCACGCTCTCCCCCCGCAGGCCGAGGAGGCGACCAGCCCCCGGCAGCCCCGCGCTGACCGCTGCCCGCCGCCGCCGCGCTCGCTGCCCCCAGGCGCCTGCCAGGCGGTGCGCTGCCAGGCCGACTCCGAGTGCCCGCGGCACCGGCGCTGCTGCTACAACGGCTGTGCCTACGCCTGCCTGGAGGCCGTGCCGCCCCCGCCAGGTAGGAGCCCAGGGGACGGGGAGGGGATGGGGGACGCGCGCGCAGGGAGGGGTGCGGAGCCGGGACCCCCGACACCTACCGGCTCGCCACCGCCGCGGGGAGACGCCCCTTCCGGGGAAGATGCCCCTTCCTGAGAAGATGGGGGCGATTTCTCATTCAAAAAAATCCAGGTGTCCGGCTATTCTTAGAATCCCTGGACCGCATTCCTTGGGCCACCCTCCGCGGGGACCCCAGGTGCCCCAAAAGGGCAGTGGGTCCTCCAGTCTCCCGCATCCTCCTCGCCCTGGACCCTACCACGCCCACTTCCCTGGCGATCCTGGCCCCGGGGGTATTGGAGGCGGAGACCTGGGACCTCAGCAGTCCGGATGCGGTGTGCCCCTGAGAGGAAGAGGGGATGCAGGCTCCTGGGTTCAAGTTCACTGGCCAGCTGGTCACCGCCCTGAAGTCCCCCCAGCTGTAAAACGGGACTGAAATGAGAACCTGCAGCTCCTGGAGGGCTCTGAACGTTGGCTGGTTTGGCAGGGAGCAGATCAGCGGTAAGAAGTCTGTTGAGTCTTAGCGGTGATTTCTTTGGGAGAAACAGCCTGCAAGGACTCATTCATCTTTGAAGGGAAGGAGTTTGGGATCCCTTCTGGAGAGGTTTGGGAGGGGTGGGAGGGGAGCCTGTGGGGATACTGAGGAGCAGGTAGGCGGTGCATTGCCCAGGGGAAAAAAAAAGGTACCCCTAAGTGAGTTGGATGGGTGCAGTGAAGTCTCCTCCCTCTCCTTTCTGCTTGGGGCTGAGCCTTTAGATGACAGCCGCCTGCTCAGACCACACCTCTCAGGGAGAGGGCTCTCCTGTGAGGTGGGCTAGATTGCTGGAGGCCGCTTGAGAAGGCAGGCCCAACCCCTCCTCCCAAGGCTGAAACAGGAGCATCAACCGCACTTTGTTTTCTTTGGGGTGAGGTCACAGCGGTGACAAGGTAGTCAGCACCCTCGGTAATGCTCGTTATTACAGTCTACCCTGCTTGGCCAGGGAGAGGCAGGGCCAGGAAGGCTTCTACAGGGCCCTTTATTAAAAAAAGACAATGTGGCACCCCCTTCTGATGGAGGACACACATAAAGGTACTTCCCTCTGGGTGGGTAAGTCAAAAAAGGTGCCCCTTCCTTTGGACTGTGACAGTGAACAAGGATTCTAGTCTTACTTGCCACAGACACCAGGAGCTTTAGAGCAGTGCACGAACTATACAACTGTTCATGACATTTCCAATAACCTTTCTCTACATCATCTCATTTAATCCTCACACAGCCCTGTGGTGGGGAGGGACTGTTATCAGGCTTATTTTACAGCTGAAGACACAGAAACTCAGAGAAGCTGAGTTGCTGGCCCAAAATCACAGGCAAAGCTGGTATTTCAATGCAGTCTTTGACTGTGGAGAAGTGTCCAGTGCTTTATGTCCTGACTGCAGGGACATGGGGTTCTACTCTGGGATCCGGGTTCATAGATGGGTGTCCCTCACTGCCTTGGAACCTCCTTCCCCCAGACACCCGCACAGCTCACTTCCTCACTGGCTTCAGATTTGGTCCAGAGGTGGTTGCTTTTTCAGGCAAGATTCCCCTCTCTAAATGGCAAACCCTCCTGTAGCCGTTCCTTACCCTTCTTTCCCTGCCTAATTTCTCTTTATAGCACAATCTAGAACACTGGGTTTTGTTTGTTCATTGACTGTTCTCCCCACTTGCCGGTCAGCGCCCATAAGGCAGGGTTTGGTCTATTTCATTCACTCTTGGATGCCCACCATCTAACTGGTTTCTGGGCACCTGAAAAGTACTCAATGAATATTGAATGAATCAATGAATCACTGACCAGGGAGAAGATTCCCGCTGTTTGTTAGAGTAACAATTATAACAGTAACATCAAAAACAGGGTTTCTCACCTGCGGCACTCTGGACATCTGGGGACTGGATAATTCTAGTTTGGGGTGTGGTGGGGGCTGACCTGGGTGCTGTGGGACGTACAGCAGCACCCCTGGACCTCCCCGCTCCATGAGATGTCATTAGTCCCCCCACTCCCACTGTGACAACCAAAAGTATCTCTAGACTTGCTGTATGTTCTATGAGGACAAGATCACCCCAAATTGAGGACCACTGATCTAACATGAGCATGTGACCTGAAATGCACCAGGCTGGGTTAGAAGCAGCTTACACACTTCATTGCAATCTTTAGCTAGGTTCCCTCCAACGGAGATCTTGAAGTAAGAACGGGGGTGCAGAGAGTTCATTTTCCAGGTGATCCCAGGAAGTTCTATGGAGGCACAAAGAGGGGAGACCCTGCGCCTCCAGGCCTTTTGGGGTCTGCAGGTTAAGGCAAGACCATGACCAAGTTTCAGTTTCTAAAAACGCAGGAAACTGCGTATATGTATCTCCTGCTACTTAGGAGCCTTTGACAAAGGAAGGAATACAAATAAGAAATAGTAATACAGTTTCCTATTTGGTAAAAAGTAGCATTGAAAACATTTTCTATCACCTGGTCCAAGGTGGTAAGAAGGAGGAGGGAAGGAACAGAAGACTGGAAGTCAGCCTGCGGAAACTCCTCCCGTCACCCCTCCAGTTAGAAGTTGCAAATTGCTCATTTGCTCCTCTGTTCCAGTTTGTCCACTGTGAGCAACTGTCTTAAGATCATCTGTGCTTTTTTAAACAAAAGGTTAACCAGCATTTTTACCAATATCCACCTATGTGCCTTCAAAGATGCTAGACAGCACATCAACCTCTTTATTTTTGTCATATTTTGGAGTCCAACAAAAGCAGAGATCATAAATAAATGTGATCCCAGACCAATTTATTTGATCTACATAATGCATAAAAATTTGGGGGGATAGGGGCAGGAGCAGAGGGAGAGGGAAAGAGAAAATCCCAAGCAGGCTCCATACTCAGGATGGAGCCTGACATGGGGCTCGATCTCACCTCCCTGAGATCATGACCTGAGCCAAAATCATGAGTTAGACACTTAACTAAGCTACCCAGATGCCTCTATAGTGCATAACATTAAAAAAAAATTAATTGCCAACACTTAAAAACCAGGAGTTTACATTTTTTCAAAAATCCCTGAAGTTCAAAACAAAACAAAACAAAAACCAAACCCATAGGCTCTAGGAACACAGGGGAGTGCTGGCCAAAGCTGACCAGCAGCTGACCCACTGAGGCAGTTTACTATGGTCCTACCTGACCTGCTTTTCTTCTGTGTGTTACCTACCTGCTCCCTGGAAGCATTTGGGCTCTCTATCCCTGCTTTGGGACTTTGAATCCATTTACAATCTACCATGTGGGTTGCTCCTTGTTAAAAAATATGTTGGCCACAGAGCAGCCTATGCTGCGATGATAAAAAGAAGCCAGGAGTCCAATCTATCAGGCATTTACTCCTCTCTTGGATAATAGGTCAGCATGAATGCAACCATTCCTTTCATCCAGGTACCCAGGTTCCTTCCATCTTGTTGCTCTGCATGATGGAAGTGGCTCCCCAGCTGGAGGAAGAGGGAGAGCCAGAGGGAGGAGAGCAAACAGGCATCCATGCCTGGGCAACACAGGAAGTTGTGTCATCACTTTGGCCCATATCCCATTGGCTAGAATTCAGCCATGTGGCCATACCTAGCTGCAAGGAAGGCTGGGAAATGTAGTCTCCAGCTTGGCTCGAGGAAACTCAAAGTTCTGCTACTGAAAGGCAGGGCAAATACATGGTAGGCAGCCTCTGTGTTCTTCATGAGGTGTAGGCTCCCCAAACCCCAGAGCTGGGGCATTTCTCGACTGTCAGACAGGGGCCTGGCAGGGGGAGGGCTCCATTTAAGCATGTATTATTTCGTTAGTTTTAGACTGGCTAGTGCAGCCGAAACCTCGATGGCTTGGCGGCAACGGCTGGCTTCTGGATGGCCCTGAGGAGGTGTTGCAAGGTACGTGCAGGGTGAAACCCAACCTGACGTCTGAGCCAGGGCCAGGGCCCTGCTTCTCAGGCTGCCTCTCCTCCAGCAGGCTGTCTGCTCTCAGATACCCCAATACGTAGAAGGGTGGTGGCGGCAGCTTGGCCCCCCTGAACAGTAGAGGGCTTGACGCGCCCTGCAAATGGGGCCTCCTGCTCCCCCCACCACGCAGGGTGGAGACGTGAGAGGCAGGGGGTTGGGGTTGATTTTCAGTTCCCCGAAATCATCATAAGGCGTTCCCTGTTCCCTGAGGATGAGGCCTTCTCCGGGTGGGTGGAGAGCAGGCTGGCAGCCCCGGGGGCCTAGAGAACTGCAGGGCACGAGTGTGTCCTTGTACTTGTGTGGACGGGGCTCCCCCTGTGACCCTGCACACATCCATGGGCACGACTGCACCAGGGTGTGCGGCTGTGTGTGCACCTGTGTGGCTGTTCAGGGCTGTGTGAATGTTTGTGCATCGGCGTGCGTGCAAATGTGTGTGCCTATAGGTGTGAGTGTGCGTGTAAGAGCCATGGTGTGCAAATGTGTGCACATCAGGAGTTGTATAGGAATGCACGTGTACAACAGTGGCTGTAAGTGTGAGCGCATGCACCTGTTCGGGAATCATGTGTACAGGCCAGGACTTGTGTGTGGGAGCGTGTGCGTATCTGTGAGTGTGTGTGTGTGTCGGGCTTTTGTGCGTGAACACATGTGACTATAAGCATGAGCATGTGTGTAGGTGAACATGTATGTAGCTCATGGCACATGAGGGCATTTGGGATCACGTGACTTTGCATGGACCCTGTGTGTGCGTGTGTTTGCAAACACACTGCTGTGAGTGAGACCTGAGGCATGGCCTGGAAGGTGGAGGGCAGAGGGGAGGCAGGCCCTCTAGTTCACAACCTCCACCTGACACCTGGCCACGTGTCTGTCCCCCAGCCGAGGCCTGCAGCACCACAGAGGATGGGGCAGAACCCCTCCTCTGCCCCTCGGGCTACGAGTGCCACATCCTGAGCCCTGGGGATGTGGCCGAGGGCATCCCCAACCGCGGGCAGTGTGTCAAGCAGCGCCGGCAGGCAGGTGAGTGTGGGCACCCAAGCCTTGCTCCTGGCCCCTGCCCCCTCTCTCTAGAACACCCTACATGGGACACCTGTCCCAGAGACAACCGCCAGTGCCCCCTGAAGCCTGGCCGAGAGCTCCTCCTGCCCTCCTCCTTCTGTGCTTCTCCCTTTGTCTTCCATCCTTCCCCTCCCTGCCTGCATGGGACACAGGTCTTTGAGCCCTGCCACCTCCTAACTGGGATCAGTGCCTTTGAACCTCTGAGCCTCAGTATTCTCATCTGTGAAATGGGGCCACTGTGCACCCTTATGGGAATTCATTTAAATCATAGTGTAAAGCCTTCAGAGCAGAGCCAAGCAGAATTAGGTGATCAGGGAACATTGGATATTTAATATTCATCTGATTAACTATTTTTTAAATTGTCTGAGAACCCTTGACTCCCCAGGGTTTCTGCAGGAGCGTTCGGTGCGACCTCATTCATCTCGGTCCCTGGAGGTGGAGAGTAAATAGCAAAGCAATCAGGGAGGGGCATGAATGGCACTGCTTTAGTGGACATGAGTTTTCCCAAGCAGGGCCAGGACCAGGAGCATGGACGGCTGGTGATACTTAGCTAAAGCCCTCCGAGCCTTAGGCAAGGCATAAGATCCCCAGGACTTGGAAGAAATGCGGGACAAGCGAAGAATCTGGAATTACAGGAAGGTGTGAGTTGGCCTTGTCACAGTTGAGCTCCTGGGATTCTGAGAGCCCAGACTCAGGGCCCAGCCCCCGCCTCCGCATCTCTCAGCCCTGAGAGCTGGGATTGGCACCCTTGGTCTACACCGAGGCCCAAAGAACACAACAGGGCACATGATCTGCCTGAGCATTTCTTTTCCTCATTGGAGAATGGTATTTCCCGCAAGTGTTTCAAAAGGATGCATTTAGGGGCACCTGGGTGGCTCAGTCGGTTAAGCGTCCTACTCTTGGTTTCAGCCCAGGTTGTGATCCCTGGGTGGTGAGATCGAGCCCTGCATCAGGCTCTGTGCTTGGCATGGAGCCTGCCTGGGATTCTCTCTCTCCCTCTGCCTCTACCCCTTCCCCATCACTCGAGCTCTCTCCCTCTGTATCTGTCTGTCTCTTTCTTTCTGCCCACAGTAGTAATCTTGGTGGTTTCTCCTACGTTCCACCTGCTGTTTGCGGAACACGAGTGTGTTCTCTACCCAGGCAGCCTGGGCTCCGGTGGTCCCTTGGCCCCTCACTGCTGTGTATGGTAAATAGCCTAACCTTCTTGGGTTTCATTTTTCTTACCCATAAAGTGGGCTCATCATAGGCCACTTCATGCTGTCATCTGTCTTACAGAAGAGGAACTTGCCTACAGTGTGCACAGCTGACCAGGAGCCAAGGGGGGCATTTCTGAGCCTGTCCATGGGATGTAGAGTCTGTGGGTGGGTGTGGTTCTGTGTTCTCCCCTGCTCCAGGAATGATCAGAGCCTTGCAGATGGAAATGTAAGCAAAATTCCTCCTAGCCTTGCTCCCAGGGACCTCAGGGAGCAGCAACTGTTGGTAATTATATGGGAATTTGGACATGTCTTGATTTCTAACAACTTCTCTTAGAACAACAGCCTTGGGGAGGAACAAGGGCACTTGTCCCAGGCTAACCAGAAAGAAGCCTTTTATTTAAGTATTATCATTTTAAACTACATATTTGAAATAATTTCAGACTTCAGGCTGCCTGGGTGGCTCTGTCAGTAAAGCATCTGCCTTCGGTTCAGGTCGTGATCCCGGGGTCCCAGGATCGAGTCCCACATCGGGCTCCCTGCTCATCAGGGAGCCTCCTCCCTCTTCCTCTGCTGTTCCCCCTGCTTGTGCACACGTGCTCTCTCTCTGTCAAATAAATAAATAAAAATCTTAAAAAAAAATTTTTTTTAATAATTCCAGACTTCAGAAAAGAGGCAAGAATAGTACCTTGAACCCTCCACCCCAATGGCCCATCAGTTGTTAAAATATGGTCACATTCACTTTACCGTTCTCTCTCTCTTCCTCCCGCCAGTCCCCGCTGTCTCTCCATATACGTTGGTGTATATTTTGGGGGCTGTTTGAGAGTAAGTTGCAGATCTCATGCCCACCTCTAGGACGCCAGTCTCTTCCGAGAGCCAGTGTCTAGAGGGTGCCTGGGAGCATTTGGGTTTTATGGTACATCAGCTTGGAACCCAGCATTTGAGGGGTTCACATCTTTCCCGAGAGGAAAATGAACGTCGACACAGGCAGTAAATCTGCCTCTTTGGAGAGCAGGGCCCGGGGAGTCAGTGCATTTCTCTGAGTGGGTTTGAGGTCACTCAGAGGCAACACGTCCCGTGTCCCCCCAGCTTGCCTCTGACCGAGCAACTTGGCTCGTGCTGCGTGCAAAAGACAGAGAATCGTGTGGCCTTAAGCCGGGAAGATCTACTTTGTTAAAATGACCTGTGATCATGTTTGGTAAACGTGGAGGCGTGAGGGGAGTGTCAGAGGCTTAACCAGCGGAGCCACCCAGGCGCCCCATGAGTTGCTAATTTTGTGCCCATTTCCAGGTGAGCAAACTGAAGCTCAGAGAGGATTAGGGAAGCAGTGCAATGAGATAGCTACTCATTACTTTGTCCCATGCAGTGAGGACATTCAAAACCCCTTTGAACAGACTCAGAAAAGTACCATGTGTTCCCCATGTGAAGTACATAGCTTGTAATCACACTTGCTGAATAATATGTTGAAATCTGGCTTCCAATTCATCTTTTTTTTTTTTAAAGATTTAATTTATTTATTTGACAGACAGAGATCACAAGTAGGCAGAGAGGGAGGCAGAAAGAGAGGGAAAGCAGTCTCCTCACCAAGCAGAGAGCCTGATGGAGGGCTCGATTCCAGGACCTGGGATCATGACCCGAGCCAAAGGCAGAGGCTTTAACCCACTGAGCCACCCAGGTGCCCCTCCAATTCATCTTTTTAAGACAGTGATTCCTAAACTTTTTGGCCTCGGGACACCCTTACACTCCCAAAACATTGAGGACCCCATAGAGCTCTCCTTTGTGTGGCTCTGGGTAATTACCGTATTAGAAACTGAAGCCAAGGCATTAAAAACATTTGTGTTAATTCATTGAAGAATGACAATGATAAACTCATTATGCATTAAACAGAAATAGTGTTTCTTTTACAAGTAACTATACTTTCCAACACACAAAAAATGGAAGACTGGCCCCGGTTTACATTTTTTTTTTAAAGATTTATTTATTTATTTGACAGACAGAGATGACAAGTAGGCAGAGAAGCAGGCAGAGAGGTGTGGGGGGAAGCAGGCTCCCTGCCGAGCAGAGAGCCCGACATGGGGCTCGATCCCAGGACCGTGGGATCATGACCAGAGCCGAAGGCTGAGGTCTTAACCCACTGAGCCACCCAGGTGCCCCGTGGCCCCGGTTTACATTTTTGCAGTTCTAATATGTGCAAGGAGAGAGGAGAGTTCGATTCTCACGCCTGTTTCTGCATTCCATCAGCCGTGACATCACACGTCACGCAGCCTCTGGACACTCCATGCGCACCTGGGAGGGAATGAGAGTGAAAACACAAAGAATTCCTTGATCTTATTATGAAATGGTTTTGGCCATACGAACTCACTGGAAGGAGCTTAATCTAACTCTCCTGTGTTTTCCAGATGGGCAGTTCCTCCGACACAAATTTTACAAAGAATACCCAGGTAAGAGAAGAAACCACTCTTCTTTGCAGCAGACACTAAAAGGAACGGTAAGGATTTCTTGGGTGAAAAAGAAAAATAGAATCCCATTGCCTGTTGTGAGAGCTACAGTTTGAAGCTGCTCTGAAGGGAAATGCCCAGACTCTTCCCCGTTGCTTTTATGCCATCAGAGGGCCCTTTGGTGGTGGGAAGCCAAGATGCTTCTGGTGTGAAAATCTCTCCTCCATCCGGAGAAGCCCTCCAGGTGGCATCTGACATGGGCAGGAGCCTTTCTAGGCTGCAGCCTGGGACAGAGGCTGCAGGTTAGGGATGTCCCACTGGGGACAAAATGAGAACTAGGATTGGGGAATAAAGTAGAAGCCCTGTTGCCTGATATGAACAGAGGAGGTGGAAGCCAAAGAGGGACTCATAGAAGAAAAAAAGGCTTTGTTAAATGTTAGAACTTGGGACCAGATATGCTTAAGTCCTTCCTACTTTCATTCAGGGGATTGAAAATATGGCTGACACTGTCCTTCTGTCTATTCATTCATTGATCTGTCCATCCGTCTTCCAATCTTCCATCCATCCATCCACATATCCAATATTCCATTCTTCCATCCATCCATCTATCTATCCATCCATCCTTCCACTCGTCTATCCATCCAGTCTTCCAATCTTCCATCCATCCATCCATCCATCCATCCATCCACATATCCAATATTCCAATCTTCCATCCATCCATCCATCTATCCATCCATCCTTCCACTCGTCTATCCATCCAGTCTTCCAATCTTCCATCTATCCATTCTTCTATCCATCCTTCCATGCATTCATCCATTCTTCTATCCATCTGTTCATCCATCTTTCCAATATTCTATTCTTTTATCCGTCATTCCATCCATCCATCCATCCATCCATCCATCCATCCATCCTTCCATCCATCATATCGTTATTAAGAATTTACGGCCCATATTTATCAAGTGTTAACCTTTATTCTGTGCTAGGAGTTGGGACTACATTTGTGATCCTGGTGGCCGCAGTCCCTGCCATCACGCAGCTAATATCAATCAGGAAATACAGACATGAAGAGCCTCCAGGTAGTTATTTAGTAATAATAGTGATTAGGGTGATTGAGGTCACATACAGGACACCATAAAAAGGACACCTTAGACTTGAATGTCAAGGAAGGCTTCCCAAGGAGGAGATATTTAAGCTCAGACCAGAGAGTAAGAAACAGTGGGCAGAGGAACAGCCAGTGTGAGAATCCTAGGGTTGGAAGCAACTTGGCCGTTACTGTAGCTGGTGTGTAGTGAGCAAGGGGGGATGGCAGTAGATTGGGCCAGAAATGCAGCAGGACCACCCTGCACCAGAGGTGTGGCTGTGGTGAGGGGAGGGGGGAGGCTGCAAGTTGGGATTGGGGGACCTCGTTTGGGGAAGAGGGGACAGGGCCAGGGCACCTGGTATTTGAACTTTGTTGGGCTGTGGCTGGTGAGCCATGAGCATTTGAGCAGCAGAAGATTCGACTGCCCTGACACAGCCCCGGTCTTTTTGCAGAAGGAGATTCTAAGAATGTGGCGGAGCCTGGGAAAGGACCCCAGAGGCACTTTTCATAAGGCAGCGGTGCCGGTAAGTGGGAGGAGTGGTGGCCAATGGCCAGGGAAGGGTTTGCCCAGCCAGGTGTCCTGGGAGCTTTAATCACCAAGTTGACTATGAGAGGGGAGACTAGGGCTTCACCTGGGGTAGAATTTTAAAATTCTCTTACAATATCGTAGTAAACGTAGGAGAACTTGGTATATAGCCGGAAGTGTACGTTTCTCTCCCATCCAGACCTAAATCTAAACACTAGACCGGGTTGCAACTTTCCTTTCCTTGTCTTAATGCGTCCATGAACAGCAGATGAGTCCTCATTGTCCCCTGAAGTCCATCCCTCCTTCGCTCCCTCTGTCACACGATACTCTCAAGTGCCAACCACTGCTCCTAGGGGCTTACCTCCTTGCAGGAGGCTAAAGAAGGCAACAAGGAAATCAGCCCACAGTAAGTGTTGTGAAGGAACCGGACGGGGCGTGAGGAAGAGCAGGTTGGGGAAGGACCATATGGAGGTCATGTCTGAGCCAAGGTCTGCAAGGAGAAGCAACTGCCTTGGGGAGACCCGGAGACCAGGTGTCTGTGCAAAAGAAGCCAGGAGAGCAGAAGTCCCTGGGGCGGGAGAGACCTTGGCTTCGAGGAGCCACAGGGAGGCCACTGGGGTAGACACAGAATGATGGCGGTGAGGCTGTCACCAGAGGGAGACCCCAGGGAAGGCATAGGCCCTGCTCTCAGATGCTCTCCAGGGTGAGATGCGTGCCTGTGGGTGCCAAGGACTGGAAGCATCTTTGCCAGTAATACCCAACCCCGTGAAGGCCAAATATCTTCACACAGCCAACAAAGGCCCTTGAAAGCAGCTGATTTCCCCAGAATGTCCTTGAAAGGCAAACATCAGGTTTCAGAGTCCAGAATATTCTGGTGCGAGTCCTCTGGGAAAGTCTTGAGCCCTTGAGGATGGGTGCCAACGTGTCTATTACCTGCTGATGACAGGACCAGTCCTTGGAGTGGGTCTGATCCACTGAGGACGGCGAGCTGCCACAGGAAAGCGCTGGGGACAGCGCGGGAGAGCAGGCCACGAGAGGTGGCTTGCGGCGGCGTCGTCTGGGAGCAGCCAGTCGGCCCGAACTGGGCTTAAATTCTTGACCCACCACATGTGACCTTCAGCAAATGCCTTCAACTCTCCCCGTCCCGCTTTCCTTATCTATATAATGGGAATGATGGTGAGGGATGTGTTAGGAACTAAACAGGACGATACCCAGAGAGACGGGAAGTAAGTTAAGAATTCAGTCTTAGGGAAAGCGGCGTCTGACTGGTGTATGTGGGGAGTGACAAGGAAGTAGATGATGCGGACTGTCACCTCGTGTTCTGCCCCAGCAGTGGCTCACGTTCCTTCCTCCTCTGCTTCTCTTCCAGCCAGTTGCGAGAACGTTCCTCCATTCTTCTGCTAAGTCTTGGAAACAGTTGGATAAAACATGATTTGACCCCTGGAGGTTATGCCCAGCTTGACAGAGCATGACCCCCAAAATACTTAAGAGTACAGACAGCTGGCTTTCAAGACCAGCATGCCCCGCCTGGCTGGGGGGCTTGGTGGGAGCCCCTTCCCAGCCCTGGGCCCCTGTCTTGTCGTCCTGAAGATGCAGCACACCTACCAGTCCCATTCGACCTGACCCCACCGCAGGAAGAGGTCACTGCCCTCGTGAGCTGTACGGAGCTCCTTTGTCAGAGGGTTCATCATCCCCGTTACTACACATTTCTTCCAGATTTGTCTCTGGGAGGCGCGCACCTATCCCAACTGTGCTCAGGATAAATTGCTCCTTATAAAATGGAAGGGAACTTGGCTACTCAGGTGGGATTCATGGTTTTAATTCCCCAAGATCTTAAATTGCATGTGCTCAAGCCCTTGAACCCTGGGGGTGGGTGGGGGAGGGGATCCTGGGATGAGGTGTCCGCTCAGCTTTCCTCTGGAACCTTGGAATGTCCAGCCATGTGTGTGCCACTCTGGGTCGAATCCCTCTAAGGTGGACCTAGAAAGTGATTTTTTTTTTTAAGTTATTTTTATTAACATAAAATGTGTCATTTGCCCCAGGGGTATAGGTCTATGAATCATCAGCTGGAAAGTGATTTGTTAGGAAAATTTCTAACTTTCCTGGGGGAAGGGTAGAGAGGTGGGGGTGGGGGGTAGTCGCATAAGGTGAAGTGTCAAGGTCCCACAGAGGGTGACTTTGGTGAGATCCCCCAGGGCAGGCTCAGGGGCAGCCGCTCAGAGGGGCTCACACTTGGCTTTAATGACAGTTGCAGCAGTTGTCCACCAAGGGTCCCCTCGTGTTTGTTGTGCAAATAGCCTAGGCCTCCCTGAGTCACACTGCGGAAGTGGCCCCAGTGGGGGGCATGGGAGCCCATGTGTGAGGCTCCAGCGCCCTTCAGTGACAAGGTACGGGCTGCCCCTAGGGGTGCCTCTGCCAGGACGGGGACCCCACCGGGCTGTGGGCAGAGCCCTGGGAGCAGCCGTTACACACATCTCAACAGCGGCTGCACAGTACAGACACACACCTGCGTAGGCTCGTGGACAGCAGTGGCTCCATTTACCACTAACTCACCCTTTCCGAACAGCCCAAGGTGAGTGGTACTGATCAGACCTTTGCAGGGCTCAACCTTCCCAATTCCAAAGTGGGCTTCCGTGGAAGACAAACACCCACGTTCCCATATTTCAAAAAAACAAGCAGCCCCGGCCCCAGGCACCTCCCTGACCCCAGACGCACACTTTCTCCCATAAAATGCACACTCTTGTAGAACAAAATGGTCCAAGTCCACTGGAAAGACCGGTGACAGACGGGCCTCAGTGCCTCCACATTGCTGAAGAACTACTAGGGTCTTTGTTTTGTTTCGTTCTGTTTTTGTGAGGAAACATGAAAGGGAAACAGTCCAGTGATTCATACACGACCTACATAGACTGTGCCTTTGTCACACCGTGCGGGCGACATTGTGACCTTCCTTCCTGCTGATGGAAAGGGAAGACGACTTTCTCCAAGAATGGCACGTCCAACGAGAGAGCAATCCGGTTTCCATTTTGGGGAGTGAGGTTCATGTCTGTCCGAGCCAGGCATGAGCCCCTTTGTGAAATTTGTGATTACAGGAGTCACAGCTTGGCTCACCCGTGAAATCCCCAGTAGCCGCCCCCTGTCCTGGAAGGTTGATCTCACTGGGCTGGGGGGAACCTGGACCTGAGGTTGGCTGAAGCCTTTGAGGGCAGAGGGGGTCCACTGAATAGCCAGGCTGGTCAGGGCTGAGGGCACAGTGCGGAGATCGGAGACTGGTCAGCCTGGCTTCCCGTCCTGGGCAAGGCACTTAGCCTGTCTGAGCCTCAGTTTCTTCTTCGTGGGGTGGGCATGGTAAGAGTAGCTGCCGATCAGACTCGCTGGGGAGGCATCAGGGAGATTATGGACAGCAGGTGCTTGGCAGGTCTGGCTAGAATTCCTTATTATCAGCCTGGCACCAAGGTCCCTTGGAGGCACAGCTGCCCCCTCCCTGAGAACGCCCGGGAAGCCCAAATAATGAGCCTCTAATTGGTGTCCCCTCCTCTATCTGTAAATTGCGCTGGCGTGCTGCCCTCAGGTGCAGGGAAATTCACTAACCTCTCCACTTGCTTGTCCCTCACTCATTCACTCATTCACTCATTCACTCATCCATTCTGGCAAAGAATATCTACCAAGCACGGACCATGCTTGCTTGGTGAATCTAAGATGCCCCATTTCTTCACTTCCCTGTTTCCCTGAAGCTGGGATGTGCCCCAGTCGTGGTCGCAGGCACTGTGCATCATTGCCCGCACACGAGGATGTCCACATACAGGTTGGGCATAAGCAAGCTTGGTGGAAACTCCCAAGAACAGCAGAGGAACAGCCTTCTGGGAAATTCTGTGTCGCCAGCGCTCTCGGGGACACACAGGACCATCTTGGCAGAAAGACTTGGACACTGGCAACCTGGCGTGAAAGAGCAATTTGGGAGAGTTGGGTCCACACACAATGACCTTCTGGGAAATACGTTTTCCATCCATTTCACTTACACCTTCTTTGTCAGGTACACATAAGAATGGTACACGGTGGCTCTGACACTTGCTGGCTGCGTGACCCTGCACGGGTTATTCGCTGTGCCTCAGTTTCCCCATCTGTAAAAGGGGGCGAAGTTACCTCTTGATACTGCTAGGAGGAGTAAAAGTGTTAGTACCTAGAGGGCTCAGTGCCTGGCTCACAGTACGTATGTGTAAGCGCTCCTTGCTACTATTGTTACTGTTATTGCCTCTAAGGAACACCCGACAGCCCCTGCTTGGGAAGACAGGGCCTCACCTGGGTTTAGGGGCAGCTGGAATCAGGGATAGAATCCCCCAGTTCTCTCTGTCTTCTCTGGGTAGAGTGACCGTCTTCCCCATGATGTGAGACGAGGCCCTGGCAGCTCCAGACTCCATCCTGCACACCCGTCCCCTGCCTGCCACCCCTCTGGCACCCTGGGGAAGGCACCCATTTCTGGGGTCATCAACTGAGGCCAAAGGAAGGCTGAAGAAGGAACTGTCAGCTCTGCCATGAGCAGGGGCAATGAGGGGAGCAGTGGGGATGGTGCCCCGAGAGGGGGCCCCAGGAAAACGCACACATTGGGGGCGGGCAGGCAGTCTCCTAGATGTCCACACCAGAGACCTCATACTACAAAGGAGGACAGCAAACCTCAGAAGGTCTTGTGACTTGTCCAAGGTCGTACACAGCCAGGCAGTGAAAGGTGGGCAATGAATCCTTAGGAGGAACTCCTTTTGCTCCTAGCCCTTGCCCTACGTTGTAACATTAGTCCTCATGGCAACCTTAGCCCAGGATCCAGCTCCTTCTGGGTACTTACTGTGTTGCAGGCACCTCTGTAAGCCTCCTACAGAAACAAGCAACTCATCTGAACTATCCCAAGCCCACAAGGAAGACACTATCAACCCATTTTACAGATTAGGGAAACTGAGGTGCCAAGAAATAAAGTCACTTAGCAAGTGTCACACAGCTAGTAAATGGGAGGGTGAAGATGTAGACCTAAATAATCAGATTCTTGTCTTTGGGAAGTAGGGATTTTTTTTTTCTTTTTCCTTATCAACGAGAACAAGCCTGTAATTTGTGTAGTTGTATGAACACGTACAGGTACTGAGATTTGAATAAAACATTTGACTCGATTAGGACATTCTCCTACCTATAGTCATTCAGCGCAGAGAGAGATTACACACTTACTGTTGTTCTCCTTGGAAGTACAAATTATAGGAAGCCTTCCTGGAAAAGACTGTATAAAGGAGAGAATGCATTTGTTCTTTTTCCCCCCCCCCATTAACTGTCAAAGTCAGATTATACTTTATACTGAGGTTGTCTACCTGTTTTTCTTATTTAAACATCATTTTTAAACACTATTTGCGATAATGGTACATTTAAGGGACACGCGGAGAGACGAGCCGTCTCGGGAGGCCTGCCTTGCCCGCGGTGACAGCTTGCATAACACACACACCAGCGCCACCAGGAAGCTGGCACGGGAGCTCTGCATCGCTCCAGAGGTTTGCCCTAGTTCCACAGGCTGAAGCAGTTCGCCCAAGGCCTCACGGCTTGAAACAGGCCTATCAGGAGCCCAACCTCCCATTTTCCTTCTTCCAGGACTTAGAGGAGGCCCGGCCCCTCTTCTCCGAATCCACAGTCTGAAGTTTTCTCTCTTCCCAGATGGAGGAGTCATCAGAGGCCACAGCCACCTCAGTGGCTGCCTGGGGACCGGTCCACCGCCATGGGGTCAGGGGTGGCCCCAGGCTCTGAGAGGGCTGAGTCCCTCCTGACAGTGAATGGCGCCTTGGAGCAGGAGCTCAAGGTGGGGCTGGGGGGGTGGCTGGGAAAGAGCAGGCAAGCCCAGGGGCTGCCAGAGCCATGCCTGCCAGAGACAAAGAGCCTCATGTAAGGCCCCTGAAAAGGGGCTGGACCCTGGGGGCACTTGGCTGAATGCTGGGGTCACCTAGAGGCCTCACCCACTGACAAGGTTCTTCCGTAAGAGCAAACTTCGTGAAACACTCCCCTTGTTCCTTGGGATGACAGACTTAGCTAGTTGTCCTGGGGCCATTTTCCACCTGAGCTGCCAGGATTAACTAACTCCCCCACCCCCAGTCTTTTCTAGAACATTCACACAGAGCTCAGTGAGACGGTCTAAAAAAGAAGGCAGGTGGGGTCTTCAGGTGAAGACAGTGTAGGATAAATCCTCTTAGAATCCCAGGAAAGGCATCCTCCTGCTTCTCACCTGGGAAGAGGGGAGCAGGCCCCTGGATGAGAAGGCGAGAGTTACTCTGGCCAAAACAGATTTCCTGCAATCACCTGTGGGCTGCTACCTAAAATTCCAGCATTATCACGTGATCTCTGCTCTGCCTTCACATGGCCTTCCCTCAGTGTCTTTGTCCCTCTGTGTCAAGTTCCTCTCTCCTTTCTTCTACAAGGACACCTTTCGTTGGATTTGGGGCCCACTCTAAATCCAGGATGATCTCATCTCGGCACCCTTAATTTAAGTATATCCTATTTCCAAATAAGGCTGC